GAAAAAATATTAAAAATTACCTTTTTTCCGTATCGTAGAGCAATCATAACCTGTCACCTGACGTAAACATTTCATTGATACAAAAGTTCTGTAGCTCATATGTACAAAAAAAGTAATTCGCGCAAATCGGAATACTTGCACGAATAATCAAGACCTTTGGAGCAACGATTAGAAGCATAGAAAAACAATTATTACTTAGAATGCAATTTGTGGTAATTTGTACGCTCGGCTAAAGTAATGACAGCAAAAATTGCGTTTGGCAGTAAGTGCCGGATTTCCAAGAGATGGCACTTCAATAAGTTAGATAAGGACATTCCACGTGTTTGAGTGAGACCAGAAGATATTGTAAGAAGTTCATTTAGAGATACTACTGACACTGAAGAGTCTGCTTCATCGACCTTGTACAAATTTGGCCGACCTTTCAGCATCCTCTTAATATCAAATTAAATAAATTCTGCACGCTTTTCATTTAAAGAAAATGCTATCAGTAATGTTGTAAGTTTCATATATTCATGTTAATGCTATTTCGCGAAGCACATTATCAATACTATCGTCATTTAAACCTTGTTCTACGTGTAATGAATGATAAAAACTTACAACAGTACTGATAGCATTTTCTTCAAAAGCAGCTTTATATACATTTACAAGTAAAGTTTGCAAGTCATATATTACTCGAGCTTAGAACATATATGTGCTCTAAATGCATTCGAGACCATAAATAAATTTGTGTGCAAGTTTTCAGTGTGAAATTAAATCCTATATATAGTATTATATATAGGATAATAGTATTATATATAATCCATAGGATAACACCGGTATAATATCTGTATTACCGAAAAATTATTAAGTGTATAGTGTGTATACCGGTATTATGAAAATTTCGGTTATATACCAGTGTAGTTGATGTCTGATATGACATTCGTTAAAAGTTTTTAAAGTATCGTTATTATAAAAATAAAGTTATTATAAAAATATATGTGGTACCGATATATAATATTACTAGCAAAGTTATTTCGGTAGCCATTACAATATCGCGATTTCTAATATCTTCTGTGCATTTTATAAATAATTTGTATAATAATTTAGTGACGTACTTAATTACATTTAATCAAACCTAAAGTGTACAATCGATTTTGTCGACCCCTACTTTGCCGCACAACACTCGCGAATGGAAACTCTTTCGGTGCAGTGGTGTGACCCGTTCGTCTTTCTTGATGCCTGTACTCTGTACTATAAGTGTTGTAATTAAACGCGAAATAAGTTTGTCAATCATCGATTAATATTTCTCAATTTACTGTGAGAAATTACAGATGTCTCGCTATTATTATTCTGTAATTGACGCATATTTATATCTACCGATGTGACTTCAAGTATAATTATGTTATAGTGTGACGTAAACTGCAGACATCGCTTTCATCATGCACGACACGATATCAAAAAGTTCTCACGATGACGCAGTTAAGGGCAAAGAAGAAGTTAATACGAAAAGTGAACGACACAAGAGAGATATCTTATGGATTTCGGTCATCTACTTAGCGACGCTGCACGTCATTGGACTTTACGGTTTAATCACGTTCAATTATTTTCAAAATCTGAAGACGACTTTGTGGCGTAAGTTTGTGTAAAAGGGATTTAGAAATTTAGACCTTATATGGTAGAACTTCAATGACAATTACTCTTCCGAAAGCTAATACTTCCTATAATATATCTAATTATAACCGACGTTGAATAAGAATCAATATTTCTTTGGTATTTTCAGTACTGTTCATGTATGAACTGGGGAGTATCGGTATGACTGCTGGTGTTCACAGATTATGGTCTCATCGATCGTACAGCGCAAATTTACCGCTCAGACTCATCCTTTTCATCGGTTACTGTTCATGCGGAGGGGTAATAATCAAACGAGCTTGTTTATTATGCAAACTGAAATGCAGTTCATTACCAAAGTCTATAATAAACAATAAAAGCAAAAATTATATATTGACTCGTATTTAGAAATAAATTAAAATATATTATTATTTATAAGATTAATTACTTTCTAATGTTGCATTTCTTTATACATACATATACATATATATATATATATATACAGGGTGGGCCATTTTAATCCATCCAGTCGAATATCTCGAAAATCAAGCCCGGGAGAGAAAAATTTTTCAGACAAAAGTTGTAGGGTTTCGAGAGGGACAGAAGATGATAATATTGGTTTGACCCTGAGTGGCGT